AACTTTGTAAATCCGTAGAGATAATAGGATAATTACAGAATACTCCAGAGTAGTTTGGAAATTTTCATAAAATTAAACGAACTTTAGAAGTACTCTTAGAAATCTAAAGAATTTCAGAAAAAAATCGTAGAATTTTGAAGAAATTCTGAAAATTTCTGAAAATTATAGAAAAGTTCATTGGAGCTTTCTATATTAAGAATAAATGAACGATGCTTTGAAGAGCGATCCATCCCTGCTGGACTGACTAGGCTAAAGCAAAGCCACGCATATAACCACCGGTTTTAGATTAACACCCAGGCATATTTTTTTCCTTGATTTGTTTTCCGTACTGAGTACCAATGCTACCGACGCCAGGGAGGCAGCTCCCACACCTGGACCTTACCTATCAACCCATCAATTCATAGACCGTGAATTAACGGCTTTACTTCCCTTCCGATCCGAAGGAAGACGTTATCAGAGATGTTATGCCTCGGAACATCCCGGCGGCGCCGTCTGAGATTGAACCCAGGCCTGCTGGGGTGAGAGACTATCACCCAAGCATATGTGTGGGTACAATATTTCATGTAAATACTCGTTTGTAACCTTTAAGTCTTCGTGAACTTTCCTAGAAGATTTTTGGACTTGCATTTGATGTTGTCTAGACTTCACACTTAGATTTTTTTACAGGAGTCAGTATTGTTTTTACTGGGTTTTTGAAAAACTCGATTAAAATTCAAATGACTGTTATTCGTAAAGCTTTGTCATATCGTCATGGCACCTACCACCCGAAAAGGATCAGCAGCTCTGAAGCAGCTGAGGGTTCAATTGGACGACCTCAAATCCTCGTTCGATGACATCTGGTATTTTATCCAGAAGTTTTCTGATAGTAACACTGCTACTCTGGTAGAAATTCGATTGTCAAGGATTGATGACTTGTGGGAGGGATTTAGCGAGAGCTTGGTGAGCTAAAATTTCAGGATGATTTTGAGGATGAAGAGGGTTACTATGCGAAGCAACGCAAAAATTTGAGCGATCGTTAGTATGAGACTATAACCTTCCTCTTGGCTAAGAGCAATAGGAACGTTCAATGTCAGGTGTTGTCGATCACATTCGGTTACCACAAATCCACATTGATTCATTGGAAAACCGACTGACCCGAGGTGGAGAAGTTCCATTACCTCAAAGGGTGTCTTCAAGGGGAGCCGAAAAGCCTGATTGACTGGTTGAAGATAGCCAAGACTAATTATCAGATCGCTTCGGGCACACTGTTGAAGTGATACAACAACAACAAGTTGCTGAAGGAGAAGCAGATCCAATCCCCTCAGTAAGGAATCCGTGTCCGAACTGTGCAACTTTGTTGAAAGATTCGAACGCATCGTCCAAACCCTCAATCAAATCATTGAACCAGCGGACTACAAAAACCTGCACATGCGGTTGGATCCATACACTCATCGTGCCTGGGAAGAATGGTCGGCCTTTAAGGAATATGATTCGCTGAACGATCTCACTGAATTCATTCGCAAGCGGATCCAAGTGCTGGAATCACTCCCTCTAAGGCAAGCAGACTCCAAGACCGTCCGTAATCAACCACCGGCTCCGAAATCCAGATTTCCAGTACTAAAGACCAGCTACAATTCCGTTCAATCTACCGGAGGAAGATGTGTGGCTTGTAAGGACAACCACCTTCTATATCAATGCTCCGCATTCCAACGACTATCCGTGGTGGACAGCGACTCACTGCTAAAATCCAATGGACTCTGCCGAAATTGCTTCCGCTCTAGTCATCAGGCAAAGGATTGCCAGTCCAAGTTTTCTTGTCGGAATTGCAAGCGTCGGTACCATACCCTAGTGTGCTTCCAACCAGAGAAGGACGCTGCAACGGTCGCAGCGGCTACTGGAGGCAATAATTCTTTCAAAGATGCCCAAGGTTCCAAGAGCTCAAATACGAATCAAGTGGTTAACTTGGTAGCTACGAACTAACACCACAACATGTAACGTGGCGCAGAAGATTTCGTCGCGAATCCTACTAGTGACTGCGGTGGTCATTGTCGAGGATGACATTGGCACAAGGTTTAGCGCTAGAGCTCTTCTGGACTTGGGCTCCGAAAGCAACTTCGTATCGGAACGACTGAGTCAGCGAATGAAATTATCCAGAGACAAGGTCGATGTCTCGGTATAGGTTAGGCAACTAGCAAGGTCAAATGCCAGGTTCAAATGGAAGTGGGCTCGCAAGTTTCGGAGTATGCGCGAGAAATGAGCTTTCTTGTATTACCCAAGGTTGCTGTGAATTTGCCCACAACCCCAATCAACATGGAAGGATGGAATTTACCAGACGGAATCCAACTCGCGGATCCGGCTTTCTTTCAATCGAAGGAAGTCTACATCATCCTAGGCATTGAGAATTTCTTGGAGTTCTTCGAGACTGGACGAAGAATTTCTATCGAAAACCATCTCCCAAATTTCACAGAGTCGGTATTCGGATGGGTAGTCTGTGGTGGCTGCTCAACACCAAACAGATCTACACAAATCAGCTGTCACTTCTCAGCCACTACGGAACTGGAGAAGCTGATGGAGCGGTTCTGGTCATGCGAAGAGATATAATTCTCGAATTCCTTTTCCCCAGAAGAAAAACTCTGTGAGAAACTGTTCCAACGTGGATTCCAAAAAAACGAAGAGGCTCTTTCAACTCTTGGCGAGTCACGGGACATCGCATTCCGACGTCTTCTTGGAACAGAACGACGGTTGGCAAGGGATTCCAATTTACTAGAACAGTACGTCGCGTTCATGGATGAATACCTAAAATTGGGGCATATGCGAAGAGTCGAACATGACACAAGAGAACCGATCAAACGGTGTTATCTACCCCATGATCCGGTGATAAAAGAGGCGAGCACCACTACTAAGGTTAGAGTTGTCTTCGACGCCTCATGCAAGACGTCAACCTGAGTATCCTTGAACGATGTGCTTCTGGTGGGGCCAGTTGTGAAGAAGGATATGAGGGCAATCATCCTACGAAGCCGAACGAAACATATTCTACTTGTATTGAATGTTGAGAAAATGTTCCAGCAGATCCTTACTACGTCGGTAGATCGACCATTACAGTCGATACGCTTCCGGTTTTCACCAGACGACGATGTTACAGTGTACGAGCTAGAAACCGTAACGTATGGAACCAACCCCCGCTCCCTTTCTAGCAACTCGTACCCTTCAGCAGTTGGCAGCTGATGAAGAAACCCGCAATATTTCCGCAGTTTTGGAAGTCGTGCCTACGGAGAATCTGGCTATTCCTGATAATACCGGAATCAACTTGGATCCCAACCAGTTTGTCAAAACGTTGGGCTTGACATGGATGCCTATCACCGATACCCTGCGATTCCAGTTTGAAGTTCCGCAGTTAGATCCTGATGTCCCATTAACGATTCGATAAAATCGACACATTTTATTTTTCATCATTAAACGGAGTCAACAGAAGTAAGTCTGTAAATTTTCGTAACAAATTTTCTCAACTTCTAAATTTTCACAGATTTTTTAAGTTTTACCGAACAGATCCGCAATTCAAAAACTCGGTAAAAATTACTGACTGGATAAGTGTGTTGCTTTCGCAATCCCTTGGAGTTACCTCCGGAATTTGCTGGGGTTTGCTCTCAAGGACCAAGAATCGCAGTGCTTGCTGAGTAGGTATTCTGGGCATTCCTTAATGTCATGCAGATATTAAGCTCTGAATTTACCCTCGGACTCCTCTACTTGACCTGGTATCTAAGGTCTACTGGACTTGACATCAGAGTCAACTGCACTTTACTCTTCATTTACCATCACACGCAAAGAGTAGCGCTTCAACCCAGTGTAGATGAATTGCGTTCGTTTTGAATATCTTCGCTGTGACGTACGAGCGAAACGAACAAATGTTTTCATCATCATGATATTCGCCAGTGCTTGATTATCCAACCCACAATATGCGTAACGTAACGGCTAAATCGTCAAACCTGCATAGATAAGCGCTCTGTTTTCGAATCGGTTTTAATAGTATCGTTTAATACCATTTGGACTGCAACTTCAGTGAATCGGTAAACAATTAGCTCCTGTACCATCCAACATAAAGTACGCATCGAGTTTTGCCCAAATCGAAGTGGTGCTGCTTCTATTCTGCCGCCATTGACAGTGATATTTCGTAGCCAGGAGTGTTTGTGTTTTCTTTAGGGAACGATCGGTGGTGTTACTCATTATCTGCTTTGTGCTCATACTGTATCTGTGTTAGTTGCTCTTTGGGTAGTACTAGAATTTGCTGTTTCTGTTTTGCTCCAGTTATTCACACGTTCCACTGTTTACGATTAGATAGGATAGCGAAGGTGTTTATATACGACAGTCTCAAAAGTCGTGTTGTTCAACCTGAGCCAGTCCTGGTCAGAAGTTAAACAGTGCGTGCGGTGCTGATGCGTGAATAGAGTCGCTGTTGTTGTGTATATCGGCGGTCTCAAAAGTTGGTATACATCAGCACGGCTAGATTCTAGTTCTGGTCGGATGCTTTGGTGGATTCTGAGCGAGACGGTTATTTCGCATTGTATAGGAAACCTAGCTTGCAATTATACAGTGCAGTTCTAGTTTCAGGGTAGATTTCTGAGTTTTGCTATTTCCTGTTTCCAACTGAATTTACATACTTCTCCTGGTAGGGACTTCTCTCTGAAAGTGTGCTGCAGAAACGTAGGATGAATTTGATGATCATGGATCCATGTAGAATTTGTGGCAATCCAACTGAGCCCACGGATAAGACCGTCCTGTGCAGTGGATCATGCGCAAAATTTTTTCACCCCTGCTGTGTTGGATTAAATGCGACGAATCACAAAGCCTGGACGGCGAATGTGGAACTACTGTGGTTTTGTGACATCTGCCGAGTAAATTTCAATCCTGTTGTCATGGACCGAGAGACAGTGCTGCTGAAAACTTTAAGGGATCTTCTGGTACGTGTGGATTCCATGGACCTGCGCATCGGACAATATGGAGAAAATTTGAAAGTTCTCAATACTATGTTATCGGCTGTACCATCTAACAGAAGGGAATCCAGTGCATCCAATCGTCTCCAGCAATTACTTTCCGGCTGTTCTGGTGGCGGTCTTGCGGATTTTCATTCGAGTATTGATCGGATAAACCTGGACAGTTCTTTACAATCGCAGTTGGAGAACTCATCAGCTGGTGAGGATGGTCTGGCAGCTCTATCACCTATCGTGGAAAACAATTCTGTGAACCAACTCACAGCCACCCAAAATACTGCAAGTTCCGTTTCGACTGCATCTACCAATACTATTGCAACTGTTACTGCTACTACCGCTGCTGCTGCTGCTGCTGCTGCTGCTACTGCCACTACTCCTGTTCCAACTACCATTGCCGCCACTACTACTGCTGCCACCTCTGCCACGTCTACTGCTACTGCTACTGCCACTGCTGCTGCCAGTACTCCTGCTGCCACTTCAACTGCTGCTACTGCTTCCTCTTCAACTGCTGCTACTGCTTCCACCTCCACCGCTCTCTCTTCCTCATCATCTGCTGCAACGGTCACCACTAACCCGGGAGATGATGAACAACGAAACCCACAAACGGAATGTCGTCTGAGAGTTGCAAATAGGAACCAACGTCAACGTGATCAGACTGAAGAAGTGCTGAGGTCTTTCTATGTAACACCATTCGCCATTGATCAAACAGAAGTCGACATCCTGGAATACATCAAAGAGATTTCGAACGCTGAGAATTCTACACTTCGCTGTGCCAAGTTAGTTCCGAGAAACAAAAACATCGATGAGCTAACATTCATCTCCTTCAAGGTGACGGTATCTGATGACCTGGTTGGTATTGTCAGTGATTCCTTCTACTGGCCCGAAGGCGTTCAGGTCCGTGAATTCGAATCAAAAAACGCGAATCGACCAGTGAGCCTTCAGCAGTCCTAACAAATGAGATGATGATCAGTTACGAGGTAAGGCCCGATGATGTCTATGAATCGGTTAATTCACTCAAAGCTAGCTGTGTTGGGGATTGTTGAGTCTTGGTTGAAATCTTCAATAACAAACAAATTTGTTGAGTTAGATGGCTACAAAATTGTTCGTTCTGATCGACTTTTAGACAATAAGAAGCGAGGCGGAGGAGTTGCTTTCTATCTAAACAGTAAAGCAAAGTATAAGGTTCTTGCTAAGTCTGATGCTGGTGATGAAATTGATTACCTTTTTGTTAAATTAGTTCATTCAAAGCTTGTGTGTGGCATTGTCTACAGACCTCCAGATGTAAGGGTTTCTAAACTTAACAGTATTTTCGAACTTGCGCTGGAAATCAGTGCTACTGAATCTCATTTCGTATTGATGGGCGATTTCAATATAAATTTGTGTGACACTTCTTCACCTGTTACAAACAAGTTATTCGATATGGTTAAATCGCTTTCTGTTAAAATTTTACCTCTTTCCCCCACTTGTCATAAATCAGGCTGCAGTTCATCTTTTATTGATTATGCACTTGGAAATTGTACGTTTAACGTTAGCAACATCTTTCAATCTTCTATAGGAGGTGGTAGCGATCATGATTTGATCTGCTTCGATTACAGAGTTAAGGTACCTCATCAACCTCCAGCTGTGTATTGGACAAGAGAATATCACAAGATAAACACCGATAGTTTAATAGCTGACTTGCAAAGGTACAATCTTGATGCTATTTATTACTGCAACTCAGTTGATGGAAAATTACAAATTTTAAACGATATGCTTTATTCTGTCATTGATGATCATGCCCCGTTGAAAATGAAAACTACGGTTGATCCTAGTGCTCCATGGATTAATCCATACATCAAAAATCTCTTCCAAAAACGATCTGAAGCTTATGATAAATGGAAAACAGATAAACCCAGCGCAGCTAAATGGAATGCTTATGCAAGGTTGCGAAATAGGTCAAATCGTGTAGTGAAACAATCTAAGTACACTTACTTCTCTCGGCTCCTTAACCCTTCTCTTTCTTCCAATAAACTTTGGGAGAATATAAAACGTTTGGGACTTTCAAAAACTCAAAGTAGAGCAGGTGGTGGTGATGTGTGTAACATCACTGCCGAATCATTGAATCAGTTCTTCATGTCAAATCAAGCTCCTATTACTTTTGATGAACAATCTGTGGCTGGTAGGTCCTCGTCATCTTCTTTTTCATTTAGGAATGTAACGAATGAAGAAGTCCTGACCGAATTCAATTCCGCGTACAGTGATTCTATCGGCTTTGACCAGTTACCACTCAGCGTTTTGAAAAAAAACTCTTGTTGTCATTCTTCCTACCATAACGAACTTATACAATCACATTATAACAACTTCAACATTTCCACAGCTTTGGAAGATAGCACGTGTTGTACCTATTTGCAAAATTGATAATCCAATGAACAACAAGGACTACAGATTAGCATCCTACCTGCTATTTCCAAAATTTTTGAAAGTCTTCTGACTAAACAATTAAACGATTATCTGATTCATAATACGTTACTATGTCCTTTACAATCTGGTTATCGTAAACATTGCAGTACTACAACAGCTTTGATTAAAATAGAAAACGATATAGACAAACGTAATCTAACAGTTCTAGTTCTTTTGGATTTTAGTAAAGCTTTCGACTCTATCAATCATAAATTGTTATGTCGGAAGCTACGTAGTTTTTTCTATCTCGATACAACTTCTGTAAACTTACTTTCCTCATATCTTATGGGACGAACGCAATATGTTGAATTTAATAATACAAAATCGGAACTTTTGAATGTAACAAGTGGTGTGCCACAAGGATCTGTTCTAGGTCCACTGTTATTTTCCATGTTCATCAATGACCTTCCAAGTATTTTAAATTATTGTGCTTACCATCTCTATGTTGATGATGTTCAGTTATACCTCTCTGGTAAAGTCGAAAATTTACAAAATATCGTACGTTGTGTTAATTCGGATATTTCAAAAATTTGTGAATGGAGTGTAACAAACGGCTTACAATTAAATGCAAACAAAACTCAAGCAATCATATTTAAAAATAGATCAGTAAACATTTCAGATGCTTCTTGCATTATGATAGGTGATACCGCAATAGCATATTCAGATGTTGTTAAGAATTTGGGAATAATAATGGACTCGCATCTGAACTGGACTGCACAAGTAAACAGTGTTTCAAAAAAAGTATTTTTTGGTCTGCATTCATTAGTGCTGTTGAGAGACTGTACTCCTAAACATATTCGTTTGAAATTAGCTCAAAGTCTTCTACTTCCGCTATTTAACTATGCTGATGTTCTATATACATCTACTTCCTCCAATAATACTCGAAAATTACAACTTGCATTTAATGCTGTTACAAGATATGTTTATAAAATTCCTCGCTTTGAACATATTGGCATCAATCACAAGGGGATTTTAGGTTGCACTTATGAAAATTACGTGAAGCTGAGAGTATGTACCCAAACTTACAAAATTCTGAATGAAGGTCCTGTTTATTTGCATAATTTCTTTTCATTTTTGAGGTCATCTCGCTCAAGAAATTTAACACTCGCTAGATGTCGTACAGAGATCTACAGATGCTCTTTTCATCAACGTGCTGCGAAATTATGGAATGAACTGCCTATTAATTGCAAACAAGCTGCCTCATACGTATACTTTAAAAATCAATGTAAACAATTATTTTCGAGACGGAACTGATCATCTCTCAGTGTAGTACGAGCTTTGAGAACACATGTGGTTATTTGTACTACGCTTAATACTTGTATTAAATTAAATAAATAAATTGTCAAAATCAGGAGCGATCCTCAAAAGCAAAATAATCAAAGTCATTTTAAGCAAAATGATTATTCTGTGTAAAATATATTTGTGTAAAATTGAAAATAATCATTTTGCATTTGATCCTCAAAATCATCCCCACCAAGATGAAGACGAAAATTAGTATTGACAACAACACAGGCGATAATGAACATCCAGCCACGAATGAACAAAAACAAATGTTGACTTCGATACTCAGAGGTTGCCCTGATCAAGAGAATATTTTTATGCCAAAATTCAATTTCATGTAGGTGGTTGGTCTATCTGCTAAGGTTGTCTTCATTTTCAGCTAAGTTGAGCGTACAAGAAATGATTAGTATCGTCCAATTTAAGAGTGAATTGCGGCAAAACCCGCTGGTATCTCACCTGATGTCAGTAGGCTTGCTTCCACTCATTTGCTATAAAAACATGATTTTCTGAATTTTGAAATCATTAGATGTTAAAATCATCACAGCAAAAAAATAATTTTGATATCACATCAAAGTGGATGCACAACAATCATGTCGAAAATTTCATGTAATTTTTATGACCACATAAATAAACAAATGCAGTAAAAGCAGCGTAATGCCAGTTCATGTATTGTATTAATGATAATTTTGTCCTTTTTAGCAAGTAATATTACACCATATTTTCGACATGATTGTAGTGCATCCACTTTGACGTGATATCAAAATTATTTTTTTGCTGTGATATTTTGTACTCATTAGATACAAGAAGAGATTGAAATGCAAGTGTTTGACACATGACACCTGTTAAATTCGCTTTCAGATAGTCACAATCAGCGATTTTACGACTCGCGAGCGCTCACTCTGAGTGAACGCTCACGAATCATAAAATCGCTTATTGTAACACTCTGGTAGGAAAATTGACAGGTTTTATGAGTCAAACACTTGCCTTTCATCCTCTTCTTGTATCTAACATACACAAAATATCATTATAACATCTTATGATTTCAAAATTCAGAAAATCATTTTTTTATAGCAAGTGAGTGGAAGCAACCCTGGATGTCAGTGCCTTTCTATAAACGTTTACGACGTGGCTAAAAATGAATGAAAAGAATGTGTGATAGGGTAGAGAACTACTTCGGCCTAATCGCCCATTTTGGGCCTATCGAGCAGAAAACTTCAAATAAATCCATGATTTCAGAGCAAACAAGTCAATTAAGCGGTTGGAAGGATACTTTAGTAAATAAGCTACCATCGAAGTCAATGAAAACGCGTGATATGAAGGTTTGCATCCATTATTCCCAAAAACAAAAGAAGCGCTCCGAGCGAATCATGTTTTATCTTCATCCGATAGGCCGAAGTGAATTCATTGGCGTTTCAATGCGATAGGCCGAGTTTAGAATCCGTAGGCCGAGTTTGGCGTCAAGAAGCAGTGTTAGACTTTTGACAATATCTCAACGATTGGGTTCTCTTTATCAAATCTTACGGTACCTACGGAAAGATAAATAAATTTGAAAGCCCTCAGTAATAATAACATTCCGTTTGGTGCTAAACTGCGCTAGATTAAGAAAGGCTAAGTGCGGGTTGTGCTTAATAGGCCGAAAATGGGGTAGTTAACCCTACCATCACTTCGGGCCACTGTCTTGGTCTCCCATGCAGGTCTACAGCATTAGGTTAAGCTCTTCCACCTTCGGCAAGGTGCTTAAGAATGGCCTACGGGAGGGTAGTTTAAGCTAGCAACTAATCCGAGGTCAATTATCGAACAAATCTAGGCATAACAGCGAAATTCATGATCACGTTGGTCAAATTTACTAAAAAGCATTCTTGAGATAAGGTAATTGATAATATGCTCCAAAGTACCAGCTGTTACGAACAATCGACTTTTTAAATTCCTCTCAAAAGAACAAGGCAGCACAATCAGGACCATTAAAACAGTTTTCGACAACAAAAATCGATATCCAGCCGTGTGGTAGGAATATCGCCGCCAAATCGTACACATGCATGCAACGGCAACCGATCGTACATAGCTTCTATCGTCCGTGCCGTGCATAAGCAAAAAAAACATTGACTGTCAAGTGCAAGAGCACACTCTCCGGTTGCACAAGTTCATCAGCGCTATTATAGTATTTAACACCAGGT